CAGCCGGCATGTGTGGACTTCAACTCCCAGAATTCCCCAGCCGGCATTTGGGACTGAACAGAATACCTTGAAACTGCTGGCTGGGGAATTCTAGGAATTGAAGTCCACACATGGTACCTGGGGAATTCTGGGACTTGGTCCATACTTGCCAGCTGGGGAATTCTGGGAATTGAAGTCCATACATGCTGGCTAAGGAATTCTGGGAATTGAAGTTCACAAATGCTGACTTAGGGAATCCTGGGAGTCAAAATCCACACATTCTAGCTAGGGAATTATGGGAGTTAAAAGTCCCCACATGCTACCTGGAGAATTCTGGGAGTTGGAGTTAACATATGCTGGCTGGTGAATTCTGGGAACTGAAGTCCACATATCTTCAAGTTACCAAGTGTGAAAAACAATGGACTAAGCCAACATTTTGGGCTGTTCAAAATCCTTGTGCATTCTTCAATTATAATTCAGGAAGGAAACCCATTCCGGCTCAATAATATCATAATGTTGACAGATAATGTCAACACGCCTCACTTTAAATTGGCTTTTTTAATTAAGTCTCCGTTCATACAATATATTTAAGGGGGTGGCAGAATTAGCCTCTAAGCTGGGTATCAAAGCATACCTTAACCAGAAATAATGCAACTGGCTAGTCTGGATCCTACTTTTAGAGCAGAAAAATCAGAATACAAGTAGTCCTTAACTTACAACAATTCATTTAGTGACCATTTGAAAACAACACTGAAAAAAAGTGACATGACCATTTTTTGCATTTGTAACCATTGCAGAATTCCTGACCATGTGATCAAAATTCGGGTACTTGGCAACTCGTATTTATGACGGTTGCAATGTCTCGGGGTCACATGATCCCTTTTTGCAACCTCCTGGCAAGCAACAGGGAAGCCAGTTTCACTTAACGACCATGTTCCTAACATAACCACTGCGGTGGTTTACTTAATAACTGTGGCAAGACAGGTCTGTTCCGGGTTCTAGAATATCTCAAAGACTTTCTATGGACACCCAACATCCAGAACGCCATCAAAAAAAGCACGAAAGAGAATGTTCTTCCTGCACCAACTCAGAAAGCTCAGACTGCCCAAAGAGGTGGTGATAACAGTTTAACGGAGGGATGATTGAGTTTGTTATTTGTAGCTCTGTAACCATCTGGTTTGGCACAGCAACCAAACAGGACAGACACAGACTTCGATGGATGATTACCAGCCTGCCTTCTGTTGAGGACCTGTATATTCTGTGGGTCAGAAAGAGGGCTGAAAAAATATCCCCACTTGGACATAAACTGACAACGTTTTCCCTCGAGATGACGCTGTGGGGCATTGCACGCCAAAAACAACTAGACAAAAGGACAGTTTTTTTCCCCCTGTGTCATCACCCTGCTAGACAACTCATTGCCACAACACTGAGTAATACTTAGTAGGGCTGCGTTACTATTGTCGTTCTCTTCTTTCCTATGACCTATTTTCTTCTCTTCTTATGATTATAACTTTGTTGGTTGTAGCTTAGGATTTCTATGGATTGTTTATTGAGTATCCTAGTATGATTTGTGTTGGTTGCTTATTTGGTATTCTATGACTATTAGCAGTTATGATTATGATAAATGTCTTTTATGATGTTTATGATCGCTATTTATCACTTATTGCTTGTATTACACTGAGAGCGTATGCACCAGGGACAAATTCCTTCTGTGTCTGATCACATTGGCAAATAAAGAATTCTATTCTATTCTATTCTATTCTATTCTATTCTATTCTATTCTGTATTCTACTCTATTTCATATTCTATTCTACATTCTATTATTCTACACTCTGTTTTATTCTATATTCTACTTCACTCCATTCTTTATTCTATTCTGTTCTATTCTATATTCTATTCTATATTCTACTCTGTTCTATTTTCTATTATATTCTGTTTTGTATTGTATATTCTATTCTATATTTTGTATTCTATTCTATTTTATATTCTATTCTATTTCTGTTCTATTTTATGTTCTACAGATAACAAATAATCAGAGTTGGAAGGGATCTTCTAATTTATCTTCTTTTTTAATTTATATTCCATTCCATTCCTTTTTATGACTATAACTTTGTTGCTTGTATCTTAAAATTTATATTACAGGTAGTCCGTGGCTTACAACAGTTCATATAGTCACCGTTCAAAGTTACAATGGCCTTGGAAACAGGACCATTTTTCAAGTTTATAACCGTTGCAGCATCCCATGATTATATGATTTATATGGTTATAAGACTTGACAACTGATTCATATTTATGACAGTTGTAGTGTCCTGGAGTCACGTGATCTCCTTTTGCGACCTTATGACAAGCCAAGTCAACGGTGAAACCAGGTTCACTTAACAAACCATGTTACTCATTTAAGAACTGCAGCAATTCACTTAACAAACATTATAAGAAAAGTGGCAAAAATGGAGCAAACTCACTGAATGCATTTTTCATTTAACCACAGACATTTTGGGCTCAGTTGTGGTAAGCTGAGGTCTATCTTTAATTATTTTATGGAGTATCCTACTATGATTGATACTGGTTGCTTATTTAGTACCTATGAGTATTGCTTATGATTTATGACAGATGTATTTTACGATGATTGTGATCATGGTTTATCGCTCATTGCTTGTATGTACAGTGAGAGCTTATGCACCAGAGACAAATTCCTTATGTGTGTCTGATCACCACGTGGTCAATAAAGAATTCTAATATCATTGGGATAATAAATTAGAAATTAGAGCTCCTTTCCTGTGGGAACTCAAGAGGGTCAGGAATTCCACAGATCATCTGAAGATCTTCTCCTAATTTTCCTCACAACCAACTCACCGACATTGCTCATCTCCGGCACGGTGGCATGATAGGGGCCCTGAAGGAAGACAGGTGGATTGTCATTAATGTCCTGGACTTTGATAATGAACTCAGAGGGGGGCTCCAGAGGCCGGTTGGACGCCCGATCCACCGCTTGGGCCAGTAACGTGTACTGTGCCTTCTCCTCTCGGTCCAACGTCTTGGTGACATGGATGTTGCCCGTCTTCTCATCGATGACGAAGACTGTGCCGGCCCCTTCTCCAGTCAAGACATACTTGATGCGACCTTCCCCATGATCCACGTCCGTGTGCAACTGCCAAAGAGAAGGAAGACATACAAGTATGGAGGTTGGCCAACAGGATCTGCAGAGTAAGATCAGGTGGGCCAATCTTCTTGAGATCATCTTCTTCTTCTTTTAACGACCCCATAATCCCTTGCGGGATGGAGTCTGGGCAACTGAATGGAGCTAGCAGAGTGTTTTAATGGTCAGATGCCCTTCCTGTCTCCAATGTGGAGTTTTGTTCAGCAGATATATTCTCAGGTGTCCAGAGAGAGAAACATCTGCTTTTACCTAGGATCAAACTCACAGCTGCCTGATTGTGAGGCAAGAGCTCCACCCCTAGGCCACCGCACTACTCGGCCAATCTTCTTGAGATGAACATAGAATAATAGGGTTGGAAGAGACCTTGGTGGTCTTCTAGTCCAATTCGCTGCTCAAGCAGGAGAAACCTGTACCACTATGGACAAATGGCTGACCAATCACTTCTTGAAAACCGCCACTGACGGAGCACCCACAACTTCTGAAGGCAACCTGTTCCGCTAATTAATTGTTCTCATAGTAAGGAAATTTCTCCTTAATTCTAGGTTGGATCTCCAGTCCTCTCAGGCTGTGGACTTCCTATGACTTGAAGAGGAGTGAGTTACAATGGACCACATCCAAGATTTTCCAGACCCCAGGTAGAAGAACCAGTTGGTTCTCAAGAGAGGTAGAATCAGGGTTGTGAAGTGTTAGTACCACTTTATAATGGCTGGATAAGACCACCTTTGGAATATTGCATCCAGTTTTGGTTGCCACAATATAAAAAAGATGTGGAGACTCTAGAAAGAGTGCAGAGAAGAGCAACCAACATGATTAGGGGACTGGAGGTTAAACATATAAAGAATGGTTGCAGGAATTGGGTGTGTCTCGTTTGATGAAAAGAAGGTTTTCTAAACCTTCATAAAATGTTTTACCATTGGCATCTAGCACCAGCAAGACTGGCTAAAATATACCCTAACATAGACCGAGAATGCTGGAAATGTGAAAATAAGCAAGGTACCTTATTTCGCATGCGGTGGTCCTGCCCTAAAGCAAAAAAATATTGGAATTAAAATAAGGAAACGGTTGCAAGAAATTACCAGTCTCCAAATAGAACCTAGGCCTGAAATGTTTCTTTTAGGGATAGTCAGAGGGGCATTTAAGAAAGAAATTAAATATATCATAATACATGTACTAACAGCGGCAAGAATAACTTACGCACAAAGTTGGAAACTGGATGGTATCCCCACAGATAGAAGGATAATAAAGAAAATAATGGATTGTGCAGAAATGGTCAAACCTACACTAGAATTACAGGATAGAGAAGACATGGAATACTATATGGTATGGGGAAAATGGTACAATTGGTTAGACTGTAGAAATAAAAAATAATGTAAATATGTATATACCAACTTACATGGAAATGTTGATGTCACATCACTGCAAAGACTGTAAATACGTTGTTTTTATATGTGTTGTTGTTTTATGTGTTTTTTTTTTAATGTGAAAAGGTTCAATAAAATTATTTTTAAAAAAAGAAAAGAAAAGAAGGACTAGGGGTGACATCCTAGCAGTATTCCAGTATCTTGGGGCTACCCCAAAGAAGAGGGGGTCAACTTATTATCCAAAGCACCTCAAGGCAGAACAAGAAGCAACGGATGGAAACTCATCAAGGAGAGAAGCAACCTAGAACTAAGGAGAGAAATTTCCTAACAGTGAGAAGAATTAATCCGTGGAACTCCTTGCCACCAGAAGTTGCGGATGCTCCAACACTGGAGGTTTTAAAGAAGAAATTGGACGACCCTTTATCTGAAAACGGTAGAGGTTTTCCTGCTTAAGCAGGGGGCTGGACTAGAAGACCTCCAAGGTCCCTTCCAACTCTGTTATTCTGTTAAGAGATTAGGTGTACGTGTATTGTGTTGCAGTTATTCTGCCTGCCACCCTTGGCCAATCATTGTTCAGTATTAAATCGCCTATGAAGGCCGACAACTGCCTTGTTGTGATGAGTTCACAGCTCAAGCAAGATCTGAAATCAGGATTTCTTCACCAAGAACTAGTTGGAATTAATACTGTCTATTATATTTTTTTCCCCCTGTATTCAGCTCCAATTAGCGGACTCTTTATTGACTCTGAGCTGGCCTTTGATTGACTACGGAATTTTAAATATTTTTTCCCCTCCCCAGGAGGGTAATTCTAGGGAGATAATAACATCACGACCACAAGAAGTCTGAGAAAGTTTGCAATTATTTCTAAAATGCACAGATTTGAGGCCATTGGTAGAATTGACCGGGGAGAATTTGAAAGAAGGAAAGATCAAGAAGGAAGAATCTCCAAGAAGAAGAAACTTCCTGAAGGACTTGAATCCAGAACCCTGAAAGAGGGAATCCAACCTGGGGGGAAATTTTTCCAGAAAACGAAGATACCTCAAAACTACAAATTCCATCTCTCCCGCTCAACCATGGAGGATTCAGGACTCACCCTTCCGATAAGGACAGGTTCGGGACCAGAATATTCTTCAATGACGAAGAACTGGTTCCACACCCAACTGCGACGGCTTCTGAAGAGAGGTCGTTCCCAACGTTGAGACAGGTTTCCCCGGAAGGATCCGGTCTTGTCTCCCTGGCTGGGAGGCATCAGACGGCCGGCACAACCACACCCTCCCAGCCAAGCGAGGAGAAGCTGCAGGAAGCTGACCATGGCTTGTCCTCTCAGGTTCAGATTTCTCGCAACGGGACACTTAGTTCTTCTGCATGGCCCATGAGGACCAGTTACCCCATCTGGTGGGGGTGGAGATCTGGACACAAGGAAGAAGGTTGGAGATCAAACACGGCTCTCAACCATGATCAATTCTCAGAAGAACCCACCAGCAGAACATCTGGGCATCTTGGGGTTCCATGTCTCCAGCTCTACATGCCTTGTGGTCAGATTATTTGAAAGACTGTCTTTAATTGATGACATCTGGCCAGGTTTCCCCGAAAATAAGACTGTCTTATATTTTTTTTGCCACCAAAAGAAGCACCAGGTCTTATTTTCGGGGGATGTCATCCACTGACTAACCTCACTTATTAGTCAGCCTTGGTAGCACAGTGGTTAGAGTACAGTACTGCAAACTAACCACCAGCTGCATGCAATTTGGCAGATCGAATCCCACCAGGCTCAAGATTGACTCAGCCTTCCATCCTTCCAGGGTGGGTAAAATGAGGAGCCAGACTGTTGGGGGTAAGACGCTGACTCTGTAAACTGCTAAGAAAAGGCTGTAAAGCACTGTAAAGTGGCATATAAGTCTAAGTGCTATTGCTATTGTGCGTGTCCTGTCCCCCGGCCTCCTTTTCACTGTCAGAGGCCTTCAGGAACTTCTTCTGTGGCCAGCAAGGCTTTCCTGAGGCCTCTGCAGTGGGTAACGGAGCTCTGGATCGATCCTGAGCTTCGTTACCAGCTCCAGAGGCCTTCAGGAAAGCCTTGACGGCTGCCAAAGAAATGGGCTAGCAAGGCAGGTGTCAGGGTGTGCGAGGCCTGGCTACAACTGCCCAAAGGTAAGTAGTAGGGCAGCCCCCCCCATCCCCACCCTACCTTAATTTTTAGCTGTGCACTCTGGAGTGGATGGGGTCTTATAGGGCTTATTTTGGGGAGTAGGGCTTATATTGGGCACACGTGTAAAAAATCAAGCTAGGACTTACTTTCAGGGTAGGTCATATTTTCAGGGAAACAGTGTAATCTGACCCACCAGAGCAGGGAAGCGGTTATGGGTTATGGGTCCTTCTTCTAAGGAAGTCCCTCTAGGGAAGAGGTCTCGGCCACTTTAAACTTCGTGGACTTCAACTCCCAGGATTCCTCCGGCTGGGGAATTCTGGGAGTCAAAGTCCACCAAAACCTGGCAACAGGTTTGGAGAGGGCCTGCTCTAGTGGGAACCAAGGAGAAAGGCCTTCTCTGTGGGGGCTCTTTCCCTGGGGAACATCAACCTTGCAGAAATAAGACTGGCTCCCCTCTGGATATTCTTTGAACGGCCCCGAAGATCTGGTTTTGCCCATGGGCCTAGAGACCCCAAGTGGTACGGAGCCCACCAAGATGTTGGTTTGTTTGTTGTCACCAAAGAGGTGGGTATTTATTGGGGTTTAAATTGCGGTTTTATTTTTGTAAGCCGCGTGGAGTCGCCCTGAATGAGCATGGGCAGCCCTGTACATTTTCTACAGAAATAAATATTTGCATGGGAAATGGATGAAACAATTCAAACCATTTTTGGATTCTGCGGTTAGTGTGAACCACAAGATCACATCCCAGAGCCAAGCGTGTCTCTCTCTCCACATATGTGTTTCTACTCGGTGCCTGAACTCCTCTCTGCCTGCAACCGTGGGGCTCAGCTGCTTCTCCTAAAATGAGGTGCCCCGGTGAGGTAATTTCCAGCAAGATTGATTTCCCAGAAGTTGGCTCTCCTCTGGCCAGATGGATCCCTGAACGTTTCCCCTGTGTTTCTTTTCCAGCTGAGGACGAGGTCCCTGTTCTCTCTCCAAAAGGTTGCAGCCTTTGGTTCTGGATTAGCTTCTCCCTACGTCCAGCAAAGTTCTGGTTGCCCAGTAGAAAAATAGAACGGAGATAGATAGATGATACATGAGAGATGACAGATGACGGAGAGAGACAGAGGGAGGGAGGGAGATAGAGAGGGAGAGGGAGGGGGGAAAGGCAGGCAGATGAAAGATTGGATGGATGGATGGATGTATATGTATATACTGTATATAGAAAGAGAGACAGAAAACATGGATGAAGATAGATGATTGGATGGATGGATCGATGGATGGAATGGATATATACATACTGTATAGAATGAGAAAGCGACAGAAAGAGAATGCATGAAGATAGATGCAAACAGACAGATGATATAGATGATAGACAGATAAATAGGATCATTGGATGGATATGAGGATGTGGATGTATGGATATATATGTGGGTGGGCTGTGGGGAGAGAGAGAGAGAGATCGGTAGATGATAGACACACATGGATGGATGGAGATAGAGAGAGAGAATGAGAAGAGAGAATAGATAAGATAGGAAGATGGATGGATGGAGATAGATGGAATTGACGTAGAGATAGAGAGATACAATGGATGGATGGATACATAGAGAGAGAGAATGAAGAGAAATAATGGATAGATGGGTAGATGGATGGATGAAGATAGCTAGCTAGCTAGAGATAGATAAATAGAATAGACATAGAGATAGAAACTTACAATAGATGGATGAATGGATGCTGATAGATGATAGACAGACAGATTTAATTGTGATTAGAATAGATAGGTACAATGGCTGGATATCAGAATTACTGGATGGGGGGGAAACGGGGAGTGATGCCATTTGAATGTGTCTGAAATGCCAATTTAATCCATATATAAATCCCTGGTTGAGGGATTTGTAAGCATCCAGCCCTAACCCTCCGATGCATGTCGATATTTTGTGCTGCAAGCAGTCCATCCCGTCTTGAAACATCTGTGTGAACCAACCAGCCCATCAAATTAAGCCATGGCGACTTTAAGCTGTGTGGACTCCATCTCCCAGAATGCCCCAGCCAGCAGGCTCCCAAGCACAGAAGCCCCTCCCTGTGCCCCAAAGCACGCTGACCGGGGGAATTCTGGGAGCTGAAGTCCACGCACCTTATTATATACATTTCAGGCATCGCTGGCAAGGTGAACTCAACACTCCCTCATCTTCCACTAGAAGTCTCTAATTCTGCCTCCTTTCCAATGCCCAACTTAAACCACCTGAGGCCAAGGCTACCAGTCCTCATTGAGGCCCTGCCTTGCAACCCCTTCTCCAGCTGGCCTGAATCCTGAACTCCCCGGATCTCAGTCCAAAGCCTCCCGGAACCTTTTATTTCCTAGTTTCTCCTCTTCCTCCCCACTCCCTGCACACACATTCCTCTTTTTCTTTCAACACCCAACTTGTGCGTCCACCTCCGGTGCCCCCCTCCTCGCTTTGTGCACCAGTCCATCAGCTGTCCGTCCACCGAGGCCCCTTTCGCTATTCATTGGAGCAGCCACCTGCCCATCCATCCATCCATCCATCCGTGAGGATTATTTATCTCTCCCTCCGTCTCTCCCACCCCCATCCTCACCTTGCCACCCCCCACAACCCATCCTCACTGCCTCCCACCCTCCTTGCCTGCCCATGCATTCATCGCATTCGCCCAGCTGTCCTGCAGACAAGGAAGGAGAGAAAAATAAAATAAAATGATGGATGGATGGACAGAGAGAGGGACTGAAATCACCAGAGGCCTGTGCGAGGAGAATGACAAATGAGGGGGAAAAAGCACCCTCAAATCTCCCCCCTGGGAACCATTGCCAAAAACACACACACACACGCAGTGAGATTTGCAGCTTGAACCACGATGCAACCTGGTTTAAAGTCTTGTAAAAGGGCCTCTGGCAATGATTGGTGAGTTGGTCAGCAACTGTTTTTTTAGGATGCTTGGCATCTCTGACGGTTGGTTAACAGCTGGCTGAAGCAGCAGTTTTTTAGAAAAAAATATATATATATATATAGTATTCATCTTAAATTTAACACACACACACATATATATTCTGCAGTAAAACAGGTGTCATGCATCAAATAGGATTGAAACCATCTTTCCTGGAGATGGAAAGCCATATTGGCTGGCTTTGATCTGGTTTGCAGGAAAAGAAAGGGACTTGGAGGGGTTAGCCGGGGAATGTTGGCTTGTTTCTGGCTGAACAGCCCGATTTCAAACAACCATGTTAGATTGGGATTATGTGGGTTGGGTATCTGGGGTTTGGCATCTCGTGGGGATGTAGGGATTTAGTTTGCCTTGACAACACAGTGTTTCTCAACTGGGACAACTTTAAGATGGGTGGACTTCAACTTCCAGAATTTCCCTTAATCCCAGGAGAACTGGGATTAAGCCTGCTGGACATCCAGTTGCCCTGGGATTAAGGGTTATTATCACCCTTTTTGAGCCAAACTCAGTTCCTGTCGAGTTCATTGACACTTTCCTGTTGTTTCTTTGGTTGTAATGGCCAGAAGATTTGTGAATGTCTTTTTCTGGAACAATACTTTGACTTCGCAGAATATCCTATGATCCTGAGCTGTCCTAGTGGTCTCCTATCCAAGGACTAAACCAGAAATCCAGCCTTGCTGAGGCAATTCAGATTATTGGAGGTTGGCCAAGTGCTGCCCCCTGGTGGGGCCTTCTAAGCAGTGCAAACCTTCCTTCTCTCTCCTTCCCATCGACATTCCCTTCCTTCCCCTCTTCTTTCCACCCTCCTTTCTATCTTTTCCTTCCACCCTCCCCATCTTTTCCTTCCTTCCTTCCTTCCTTCCTTCCTTCCTTCCTTCCTTCC